TCTGGATATAAGTCCCTTATCTGATATGTTATTACCGAATACTTTTTCCCAGTCAGTGGCTTCCCTTTTTACCCTACTGGAGAAGTTTTCGCATGTGCATAGGGATTTGAGTCTTAGAAGGTCCCATTCATCTATGTTATCTTCTCCTGGTTGTAGCTGTTACCATACATGTTGACTGTGGATACAAGTAAAATGTAATCATTGACAACTTCAATCTTTTCTCCATCTATCATGATGTTGCCTTTGGCCCAACAGGGAGGATTTGTTTCTAAAATATGTAATTCATATTAAAAGCTGTACTCTGATCATTTTCAGTGCATTTCAAGAACTGGACGTACAAAACACTGTTAGTGATAGGACCTAAACTATTCGCATACAAAGAAGGCTTGCTAATACAACTACTATTCAAACATACCAACCACTAAGGGGTGCCTGATTCAGGTTATGGTCTTTTTGATCACTTGCTGTGTATCTGAGAGCTGCACCATGAATAAAGATGACAGTAGAATCGAAGCCTTTGAATTGTGGTACTGAAGAATACAGAATATCCCATGGACAATAAACAGGTATCTTGGAAAAAGTATAGCCAGAATGTTCCTTGGAGGCAAGAATAGTGAAGCTTCATTTCACATTCTTCAGGCATATTGTTAAGAGAGGTTATTCTTTGGAAAGGGACATCCTGGAAAGGTCATTGGAAAAGTGGAGGGTCAGCAAAAAAAAAAAAAGGAAAAAGACCCTCAGTGAGGTGGATCGACATTGTGGTTGCAGCAGGAGGCTCAAGTGTGTCAGAGATGGTGAGGATGGCACAGGATAGGACAGGGTCTGTTGTCCACAGGGTTACTATGAGTTGTACTTGATTCATCAACTACAAACACCATGAATCAACCACTAAAGCTAAAGGTGAAGAAATTGGGAGGTGTGTCAGCGATGTGTCTTTTCTCCATATCTTTTCAATCTATATTCCAAACATATATCATTTGAGAGGCTGGACTTTATAAAGTGGAATGTGGCATCATGGCTGGAGGAAGACTCAACAACCTCAGCTATGCAGATGACACAACCTTGCTTTGGAAATTGAAGAGACCTGAAGCATTTGTTAGCTGTCAGATGCACTCTGAACATCCTCACTAGGTTGTGCCAGGAAATCTGGAGGACCACTACCTGGCCAAATGACTAGAATAGATTCGTATTTATTCCCATTCCCCTAAAAGGTGACCCAAAAGAGTGTGTGAAAATTATCCAAAAACAATTGGAGAACTCAACAGAGAACTACCAGAAATATAAGCTGGATTTAGAAGAGGCCCTCGGGACATAAGTGCCAAGGTCAGATGGATCTTGGCCAAAAGCAGAGAGCACCAGGGAAGTCTACCTGTGTTTCATTGACTATACAAAGGCATTTGACAATGTGAGTCAGAAGACATTGGTGGCTAACCTTGAGAAGAATGGAAAACCTATACTCGGAACAGGAAGCTGTCGTCATAACAGAACAAGGAAACACTGCATGGTTCGAAACTAGGGAGTGCATCAGGGATGTATCCTATCTCCATACATTTTCAATGTATATACAGACTAGATTATTTGAGAGGCTGGATTCTATAAAGAGGAATGTGACATCAGGATGGGAAGACGACTCATCAACAATCTGTGTTAGTTACGCAGATGACACAACCTTGCCTGCTGAACCTGAGGACCTTAAGTGTTTGCTGCAGAGAAGGTCAAGGACTTCAGTCTCCAACATGGAATGAAGCTCATAATCAAGAAACCAAAGATTGTCACAACTGGGCCAACTGTCAGCACCATGATAGATGAAGAAGAGACAGACTGTTAACGTTCTATTTGCTTGGTTCTACAATCACTTAGCACCAGCAGTTGTTGCTGTTGTTATGTGCCGTCAAGTTGCCTGCGACTCATGGCGACCCTATGTACAGCAGCCCTAAACTCCGCTCTGTCCTGT